GAGTGTTCTTGGTTGCTAAGTGTAGAATGAAAGAGTTTTATGGAGAATGAGGAGAGAGGATCAATCCTCCAGCTCTTAGAACGTGGGAAGAGCTGGAGATTGGCTGTAAAGGTCCACTAAGGAGACAAGGGGTAGTGGGAAAGAGTGGCTGATCATAGAGTGAGGTGGTAGTGGGTTGCTTTTGCCATAAATTAAGGAAAAGCAAATATTCCCTCAATAATTAGTTCAATCACCAATTCTTTTAATATATTTTATAAAAACCCTGGAGATTTATATATTTTGGGGCCTTAGTTTATAAAATAAAGTTTTGGGTGAAAATCCCACGTTAAAATAATGAAAAACGGAGTTAAAACGAAGTCGTAGTCGAAAAACCGGTAAAAAGGGCCTGACTTCGGACCTTCGGACCTCCGGACTTCGGACCTTCGGACTTCGGACCTTCGGACTTCGGACCCTGGCTTCGGACACGGGCTTCGGACACTGGCTTCGGACACGGCTTCGGACACGGACTTCGGACCTTCGGACTTTGGTTTCGGATCCTTAAAGCTATTTTACTCGTTTTTATCCCGTTTCAAGCGATTTTTGACCCGGTTAAGGGTCGAGATGACCCAAATGATTACAAAAAGTTAAAGTAACTTTTGAGAGAGATTTGGGAGAGATTTGGGAGAGATTTGGGAGAGATTTCAATTAGAAAGAGATAGAGTGAAAACGATTTAGAGAGGTTTCGTTTGTGATTAATTTGAGTGTCCGGCTTCACAACGCAAGGTTCGTAAACCCCATTAAACCGTGTTTTAGTGTCGTACACAATCCCGATGATTGTGCAATAGTGTTTTATCGCTTTGGTTCGTTGTTTAGAACTGTTAAGGCTAAGGAAAATCAAACACATGAACTTTCCAAATGAGGATTGCTCATTAAAATAGCGAATTGTATAGTGATTACATAACGTAAACCCTAGCATACAAGGGTTATTGGAGTTGACCGGTTTGACTTGTTGACTTTGAATTGACCGAAATTTGACGGTTGTCATAGATGAATATTGGCAGTTGTGCCATAACCCGTAGGTGTTTTTGATTTACGTGTTCACTAGATGTACTCTAAAAATCCTGGCAGCTGCGCCTAAAGGATAATATTGGCAGTTGTGTCTAATAGAGAACATCATAATTCTGGCAGCTGCTCCTAAATGATAATATTGGCAGCTGTGCCTAATAGATAACATTGGCAGTTGTGCCATAGGCAACGATGGACTTCGTGCCTATTCCTTAGGATAATCCTTAGGAATGAATGAATGAAGGATAGCTGATTCTTAGAGTAGATCCTTAAGAATAAAGAAGATAATGGGGATGGGTAATTGGGTTGATTATTTGATGATTAAACATAATAATTATATTATTGTGGGTTGAAAACCTTATGTACTCACCAGGTTTCCCAACCTGACGCATTCAGTTTATTTGTATCGCATGTGTCGATACGAAGCTACATTACACTGAGAGATTAAAGGAGATGTAATCACTAGTGTAAATGAATGTAAGGTCTGTTTATGCTTATGTTTCTGTATTGACGATGACATCCCAAGGTTTTAATATAAACAAAATACATTTCTTCGTAAATGCTTTGATAATATCTTTATCATGTTTTCTGGGAACATATTTCGCAACATATTTCTTTAAAAGTATACTCTGATTTTGAAATAAAGCATAAACAAATCGGTCTTTTCTGGCCGTGAAATTGGGAATGTCACAAAATTGGAGAGAAAGAAGGATTCAGTGGCGTTCCAGAGTTTATTTTTTCGAGTGATTTTGGAAGAAAGGAAAGGAAATCAGAGGTATCTTTTCTCTCCTAATCTTCCTCCCAAATTGGGGAGATTTGGAGAGAAGAGAATCATTAATAAACATAATATCCCGATGATTACCAAACTACCCTTGAACACTATACAATCACGTACAAAAGCAAAACGTAGAAAAATAAACCGCTGCTTCATCCTTGTTCGCACTGTTCACGCTTTGCAAGCTCCCAACATCAGGTTTCATTCCCTTCTTTGATTCCTTGTTTATGTTTCTTATACATGATACCATTCTTTTGAACACACAATGAATACAAAACATATTCCATTTCATCTCTTCTTCGATTTTTTCTTTATGATTCTTATCTGTTTTTAATTTGGTGCTAGTTCTGTATTTATTTGGTTGCTTTTATTGCAGAGACTATTTGATTCCTTTATTTGATGCCAATACTACTACATAGTAACACACGGAAATTTCAATTTCAAATTTGATTGCTTTTATTGCAGAGCCTATTTGATTGCTTTTATACATAAAATCCTTGATTAGATTAAGGCAGTGTATAATTTCTATGTTTTCAGTTTTCACAACATTTACTCATTACTTGTACACTTTCTAAGTATGTATATTTTATGTTATCAATGCATGGTTTGTTTATTTATGATGATATGCGGGTCATAATGATCAAGGAAGAACAAGTTAGTAAGAAAGAACAAATAAAATGGACTGATTGGATGGATTATTGTTTTATTCAAGCTATGTTGACACAACAAGAGAAGGGAAACATGATTAATGAGAATTTCATCCCACAGGCATACACCAAATGGTGGAGGAGCTTAATCAAAAGTTTGGGAAGAGTTTAACAAAAAAATCATTTAAAGAATCGTTTGAAAACTTTAAAATCGGGTTTTTCGTAATGGTATGACATGTTCCACGGAACTTCATTGAGTGGGTTCGATTGGAATTCTGACACAACTAAGTGAAGCAGGTGAGGAAGTGTGGGCCAACCTAATTAATGTAAGTTTTCATATTGCATTTTACTTAGTTCTGTATACATTTATGTTATTTTTCTAAACAATAATTATATTTGGGATTGCGTGTTACAGTCAAAACCTGAGGCAATTTCATTGAAGTCCAAAAAAAATACCAAACTACAATGAAATGATTGCTTTATTTGCTAAAGATAGAGCTTCAAGGGCGCATGCTGAAACCCTGAAAGAGAAGAATGCTCGATTGTATAGGATTGGGGATATCAAAGTAGAAAGAATTGAAGAATTGGATAAGTTACTAGCAAGAAATGACATAACACTTGAGAAACAACAGAAAAATGATGATGATGATGATGGTGATGATGATATTCAAGTGTTATCTCCTACATGCTTTTCACTGGTGCAAAATTCAGTTCTAAGAAGTACTAAAGTAAAAAAAGGAAACATGAAATTGAAGATGAAGATGAACCTGAATCGTTTGAAAAGGTTATTATGAGTGCAGTTAAAGATGTGGCTTCTACTATGAGGGAAGGTAACAAAATCTTCAAAAACTCTCATCATTGGGTGTATAGTGGTGATGATATTTATAAAGAGTTAGAGCCGATGGATTGGAACCCGATGAATTAGCAAAAGCTCTCATGTTTTTGTCGTGAAATCAAGCTGATGCGGGGACATTATTTAGAGTTCTATTTAAAATACGAAAAGGGTTGCTGAAAAAAATGATGGGTGGAAGTAAATGACTTACTTAGGATGATAGTTTTTTGATATTTTATCAGTTTGACATCATACTGTTGGGTTTTTTGTTTGAGTTCATACATTGAAATTTGTTTGATTATTCTTGCATTGACTTTAAATTGGTTTTTTATTGATTTGTCTTTAATTGGTCATCTTCTTGTTTTATATATATTTCATGTTATGTATTAGGTTATGCATTTTTGGTTTTTTCACTTCTTTTCCACTTTATATTGGTTTTGCTTGAAAAAGTAATACAACGGAAGAAGATACTTGAATTGTGATTTATAATGACTTATGCGTTAATGTTTTTTGTATAAGTAATCATATGAAAAAAAATAAGTAAAGAAGTCGAGAGGGCAAGCAACAGGTGGCTAAAAAAAGTTTAGGCATAATTTTGTTTTCAAGAGAATGATGTGATATATATTTAAAATTAAGGTAAAAACGTGACAAGGGTATAATTGTCCACTTTTAGCTTTCATTTCTTATCCCTCTAACTCCGTAACACACACACACACACACACAAAAAAAATCCTTTCCTTTCTCTCGAACTCAAAAACAGAAAAATACACTTTACTCTCGTTTCCGTTCTTTTCTTTTGTCTCTATATTTCTCTTCTTTTCTTTTCTTTTCTTTCCTTTAAATGAAACTCGGGAAAAAGGGTGTTAGACACATAAGTCCAACGTCTCCTCTTTTGGTGAGGGATGTGAGACAACGACTACCAATACACCCTCCATTAAGGGTCCTCCCATAACGAACATCATATAATCGCTCATGTTCTCCAATAGTAAAAACAACTTTAGTGCCATCAGCGCCAACAAAGAAAACGCACTGATTTAATTTTAATATGCGATTTTATCTACCTATTGAGAATAAGCAATTTAAATTCTGTTAGAAGTTATTTGAAAGGAATTAAAGAGGGATTTATTCCTTACCATAGCAAATAAGTCAAATTCAATAGTTATGGCTTAATTAACAAGTTCATCCTCCCAATTCCTTCGTTTCGGATAGAAAAACATCATTTTAGTTTAAACAATCTTGTTCGATATCATGATGTATAGTTAGGTATTAACGTGATTCGTACTTTTTGTTGGTCGAATCCAGTTTGCAAATAAAACATTTCCATCATGTGGATTAATTTTTGTTGCAGGCCTTCTCTAGCTACTGTAATTTATGACAAAGGAAAATAGCAGGCAAAACCTGACAAAGTTGGCAAGTCTTTTTGTGGGGACTAAAAGTTAAATTCAATAGTTACAACATATTTCGAAGGAATTTATCTTCCCAAACTCCCTCATTTATGTTATTGAGTGGACTTTTCCTCCTTAAATTCCTTTGCAAGCTCGCTTTTAACAAGGAAATCTACATTTTAGACAATATTTTACTGCAAACAATTTTTGTTTTTTCTTGTAGTGAACTCTATATCATAAATTCGAAATGCTTTCTCCATTGTTGGCAATCTCATATCCTGAATCTTGCTGGATCATCATATTGGCCATTTTTGGTCCTACAGATGTTTCTGCAATGCAATGATCGTAATACTCGGTAGGTTGTACAGTTATATATCTATATATGTTCATTCATCACTTTGTAACCAAAAGCATGTTCATGTTCATGTGAAATGATAATGTTATCAATCACATCAATGAGCACGAACACACTTAATTTTGTAGTGTAATATCATGTTTTTACGTGCATTAGCTTGATTTCAACATACGGAAACAACAAATGTATGTGCATGAAAATGGATTTCACCCCTTATATCAGGGTCTTGAAATTCCATAAAAACAGATAAAAATTAAGGAACAAATTAAACCGGACACAACCTAATTAATTGTCCTTGCCTTGTTTTCACCCCTTGTCTTGTGTTCTTCTTTCTCAGCTCTTTGGCTTCTCTCATATAACTTCTTCTCAACTTGCCTTACATTCTTTCCCAACAGGTTTCTTTTCACTGCATGCTTGGACTCACGTCTCTTTGAGCTTCCACGCAGGATTCCTTGACGAATTGGACCAGAAGAGGCATCTGAGACCATGGAATCATCACTATCTGCATTATGGTATGTGCTATAATCACCATGACTCTCATAAATCTCATCATCAACATGATGATGATGATGATGGTTGTAACTGGTTTCATGCATGGGAGAAACAATGTACATGGTCCATCCTGATTCACTGCTGCTACACTCTTCAGCAACTCCAAGGTATTTGGAGAATTCCATTTGAGTATACAAGAAAAGATTTAGGTTGAAAGAAGTTAGAGTCTGGAGATGTGAAATAACAAGAAAACATTATAAACGGAAGCATCATAAATTCTTTAGCTTTTTGAGGTGAGTGAGTGAATAAGCAAGTGGGTGTGGGGGGAGGGAACCCCAACCCCACTCTGCGTTTGATTAGAGAAAAAAGTACCAAGTCACATGATCATAAATGGCTAAAAAAGAAGAGGATCCCTGCATTATTTTTAATTTTTCTTCTGTAATGTCATCAACAGGGCTTCCTTTCATGTGAGATTGTACAGGCTATCCAACTGTCTTTTGGCGTTTTATACTTGCTTCCACTCTTTTCTATCTGTTGTCTCTTTGCACATAAAGTAGGCTTATGTCTTTGGTTTTTGTGGGGGATAGGAGGATTAACTATGCACATGAGAAAATAAAGGAAATCACGCCAAACATTTTCTTTTTAAATTTTTAATTGGTGGTTGTGAAATTTCATCACAGATGGTTCATGTTTTGGCATACCTTTCAAACTTTTCTGTTTTTGGACTCTATTTAAGAGCCAATTAATATAAATCTTTTTAGATTATTTATACATATGAAACATATGATTTTGATATAGTTACTAAAAGGGAATGTGAAAGTTGTTGGACATTAAGTTAAGTGGGAGGAAAAGTAGATTAAAGAATATTTCTTCCATGTTCCATAAATAAGTTGATTCGTGAAGAAAGGTGGAAAATTGATTTCCAATATATACCCCACTTTTATAATTTTCTATTAAGGCAATTGTCACAAACTCACCTGATTTGCTTTTTGGCATACCATTGTTCTACTTCTTTTGTTTGTTCAATCTATTTAGGCTACACATGATACAAGTGGATTTCAAATGGGCTGAATTTTTTTCCCAAATAGGAATGATTTTTCTAAACTTGCGGCTTAATTTCGATTATTTATGCAGTTAATAGGGTAAAGCTTGTTACCTGCCAACTCTGTTCCTCGTAATTTCTATTTAATTCTTGAATTCTTTGATTAACAATCAGAGTCTATTTGGTTGGTTGGAATCGACAGACGAAAAAATGAAATAAACAAAATAATGGAATACATTAGAATGTCACATTACATTTTATGGATCATGTTTGGTTGGTCTCTAGGAATAGAATAACTTTTCATGTAAATATTTAATGGTATATGTATCAATCTATGCTATACATTATTTTAATTATTATCAACCAAATTCTATTTACAAATTTTAAAATTTTAACATAATAAACTCTTATTAAATAAAAAATTATATATTTTTTTATTTCAAAAAATAAAAAATTTCAATCCAATGAGAATAATAAAAGACAAAAGTACATGTTATAATGCAATTTTTTTATTTCATTTTTTCCTTATTCGCAGTGGCGAGTCTAGAACATAAAACAACATGATTCATTTTTTAAATGAAACCGATAGAAAAAAAAATAGTTGTGCGTCCAGATCGAATCGGATCGTATAAGCAAAAAAAGATTTGAAGTTTTTATAATTGTATTGGGATGTGGTCTTATATCTTGATATAGATTTTCATAATTCAACATAGTGAAATTAAATCAACTTTTATATGCTTATGTTCTTCATTATCTTTTTTTACTATTTTTTATCTTTCTTTAAATAAATAAATAAATAAAAGTTGAATAAAGACAATTTTTTATCCTAATTTCTGAAACAAACACCAAGTCACAAATCAACAATCAAAGCAAAAAAATAATGAATTATAAATGAAACAATGATTTTGTTTTTGGTATGATATTTCTTATTTCGTTAGTTATGAGATTTCTTATTTCACAATTTTTAATTTACAAACAACACTCGAAATATCAAATAATCAAACAAACGAACGACAATAAATAATCAGTTCATATTGAAACAAATAAAAAAACATAGTATACAATCATGGAACAATCAAAATTTATGTTGTTGAATCATTGAACAATTCAAAAATCACCCTTCAAAAATCGATATTCTTATATTCACAATTGATTATTAACAAACATTTAATATCAATTACATTAGAATAAATGAACAATGATCCAATGAAGCAATAAGTTAAAAAAAAAAAATACATTCAATGAAATTGTGATTTGTGAATTATGAATTATAGATGTTTGATGACTAATAAATCGATGGAATTGGAGCCTTGCCCTAGGAATTCCTATTGAGTCGCTGCCTCGCTGCCCCTCTAAGTACTCACTCACGTTTATTTTATTTTTTGTTTTTTTTTTAATTTAATTTTATATTTGGCTATTTAACTTTATATTGGACTATATATATTGACTTATATCTAACCTTTGTGGGCTATTAAAGTATACAGGCTTTAAAAATCTGAGTTGTATATCTTTTTCCAATAATATTAAGTAGTTCACTTAATTGTTTTTAGATAGGTTATATTTTTTTAATTATATATAAGCTATTATAAAAAATAAAAAAATAAAAAAAAAAGGTAGGTGAAGTGACCCACCTTCAACCTATGTAACATCGCCACTGCTTATTTCATCATATCAAACGCTATGTGAGTTTCAATTCTACTGTGTATTGGGCTCCTTGCGGCACTACTCTTATCATGCCACTATGTACCTTATAGGGTTGCTGGAAAAATAATTTTGCTGGGCAATATGGCCAGCTTAGAGTTAAGATGTGGGCTAACTCAAGGGTTGTTAAAACATGTTACAGACAAAACAGATATTTGGGTAACTTAACACCTGTTTATTTATTTATTTTCTAATTTGCCAGATAAATGAAAGCTCAGCTTTAGAAGTGGGAAATGCAATGGAGCCCATTGAAGAGTTAATACAAATGGTCATTAATACCCCTGCTGCTGATGCATTTCTCAATTACTCACTCAGTTTCTAATGGACACCTTGTACTTCTGTCTTCACATGAATAAAGAGGACTCACACTCACTTTTTTATAATGCACTCAACCCAACTGTATTTGGCTTTTTTTTCATCAATTCTTCCCCTTGTCTGTCCTCAAAAAGCATGTTTATGTCATTTTTCTTATGGAGTTGACTCACTGAGTTGTTTTCCCATTTTTAATCATCGAGTTAAACTAGCTGGATTTTTACCCCTTTTTTTATCATCAATCTTGTGGTTGTCTGTCCCCATTAAGCATGTTTTATGTCACTTTTCTTGGTGTCGACTCACTGAGCCGTTGAGTTCAAGTCTTGCATTTGATATTCTAGTTAAAGAAAGGAGTAAATTACATTTTTTGTCCCTGTACTATTTTGATTTTTTCATATGGTCCAAAAGAAATCCTTTTTGCGCTTTTCACCCCTAATTTATGTTTGATCACATTTTTAGTCTCTGAATTACAGGTCATTTACACATCAGCTTGTAAATTGACCATTTATAAACAGTCAATTACATGGGCATCTATCTTATGGACTAAAAGTGTGATAAAATGGTGAATAGGAGACGTAAATTGTAAAACAGACTACTTTTTGGACTATATCGGAAAAAGTTTCATATAGAACAGGAATCAAAAGTGTAATTTACTGTAAAAAAAAAGTTGGATGTTTTGTCAAACCGCACTTATTTTGCTTTTTCATTGTCAATCTTGAGCTTGTTCCCATAAATCACGTTTATATTATTTTTCATGCTGAGTTGACTCACCCGCTAATTAGAAATTTGTCCATAATAATATAGCGAAGTCAACTGTAATTTGACCTTTTATCGCGAATCTGCTCCCGTGTATCCTCATAAAGGGTATTTATGTCATCTTCATAATGAGTCAACTCACTTTGTCATTACACTGAGGTTTAGCAGAGGTGATCCCTTTGCAAGACCACATGGTATTTTTGCCAAGTTAATCATCAGTTTAAAAATAGTTGGATATTTTCTCTTTATGAACTGACTCACTTGAGCAGTTTTATATCTTTTTCTATACAGAGTTGACTCACTGAATAAAAATTCAGATTCTTGTTAGACTTGGCAACGAATTAGCACCAACTATATATCCTTGTTATTATGTACACAATTCATGCATTTTAACCGAGTCAACTCAATGTGCCATATAGCATCACTCATGATTTACCTAGTTAGGGCCTGATTTTTTGTCTAGTTAAGTGTTGAATGCGTAAATGATGCCTATTACAAACTCAAAGTGTTTCTTTTTTGGACCCAATGTTAATAAATGGCAATTTTACCCTTTGGATGGACACAATCGTGAGAGGAAACAGAAATTGAACTTTCTTAAATGCTGAATAGGTTGATGATGTTTGTTTGAGTAACTGTTTTATACACAAAGTTGGTTGCTTTGTTTTTTTTTTAACTGAACATGAGTAATTGACACTTTTACCCTTTGGATGGACATTGAGTGAGTGGACATGGGAAATCAAACTTTCCAGTCTGTTAGGACCCCGTTAAATACGCGCGGGTGAGGGTATCTTATCTGGTTATAACCAGACAATGGAGGGGCCAATTGCAATTGATGATTTGATGATTTGGACTGTTGCTAATTTTGGCGTTTTGAGAGCTCCATTTGAAAAGAAAAAGGCAAATTGCTTTCTAAGTTGGGTAGTTGAGTGAACAAGTTGCTTATTTGTCTCTTTATATTTATTTAGCCAAACCAAAATGATTTTTTGGAGTGACAAATGGTAGTGGTTCATATAAATATGTGCATAATAGCGATGCATGTGTGGTATGTGACCGATACCAACCTCGTGAGCTACGATTCTCGACAAAGAATCCTTCTCGTATTACCTATTACACAACCCAAATTTTTTTTGGAAACAGAAAATGCATTAAATGGAAGCCTACTCGCAATATTTCAGCGAACACCCAGGGTTCGAGCTCGTTTACAGGGCACCACAAGAGGTAGTTTAAGGGAATCGAACTCCGGTCCATCAACCCACCTTAGGCTAGGCTAGATATCACTTGCTACACGACCCAAATTAAATGAAAGAAATAGCAATATATTTTTATTGATTTGTTTATTGTAAAACCTTACTTTTGTCTTTTTGTTTTTTGTAT